TGTTTCTGAAGTATTTCATCCTCCCATACAAATATGGTGAGGTGTCTTTTAAAATTTCAGAGCTGGTGTGAAAAATATTGCAAAGTCTGAGAAAAAGTTCTTAACATACAAGGATGAGCAAGAGCACAAATTGCTCTGTTCCAGCAATTAACCCTCAATTGCATCCATATTTTCCTATCAGTGCTAGGGCATATTGTGGAAGTGAATTTCCTGATTTTGAAAAAGCAGTATAAACAGAAAAAGAGATTTGATCCGATATAGCCCACATGCTGCATGTGATGAGAATATGTCTCGGATGCTGCACTTGCCAATCTTTGCTGTTATCCTGGAGATTCTCTGGTTTCAAAGCATTGTTTCTTACACTCAGTACTTGTTTCATATGAAGAGATTTGGCAAATGAATCAATCCTTCCTCTTCCCTTTGTTGATATGCCAGGAAAAAGCTTCACGAATATTCCAGATAACAGAAAGTGAATATAGGGCTATCCCCCGCCCCTCTGCGTAATGGAACCGGGGCAACCTACAACATTAAAATATACATTCATATCCCATGATCCCCCCTTAAAATACTATTAAACAATGACTATTTAAAATACAGTCAAAACAATAACACAATACACAAATAAACAAATAACAATAACTACAGCTGAATCAGGGATATGCAGGATGGCTGTCTTTTCATGGCTGGGATATCTATTCAGGAAAGGCTTGCCAGAAGAGATCCATTTTAACAGCCTTTTTAAAGCTGTTTAAGGTGGTAATATGACGGATCTCATCTGGCAGGCCATTCCATAATCTGGGAGCGGTTGCCGAAAAGGTCCTCTGGGCGGTTGCAGACAGTCTAGTTTTTATAGGCTGCAGTAGATTCCGCCCAGAGGACCTGAGTGCATGGAAAGATTATACAGGAGGAGGCGTTCCCAAAGACAGGTTGGACCCAAGCCATTTAGGGCTTTAAAGGTGATAACCAACACCTTGTACTGTGCCTGGAAACTAATAAGCAGACAGTGAAGTGATCTTAAGATCGGTGTTATATGGTCTCTTGTCGATGTTCCTGAGACCAGTCTGGCTGCCATATTCGGTACTAGTTGAAGTTTCCGGACCAAGTACGAGGGTAGCCCCATGTAGAGTGCTTTACGGAAATCAAGATGAGAGGTTGCCAGCACATGCACCACAGTTTCAAGGTCCCCAGCTTCTAGGAAAGAGCGCAACTGGCGCATCAGCTGAAGCTGGTAACAGGCACTCCTGACCATCACATTTACTTGATTTATCATCTGAAGCATGTTATGTTTTATTCTGTTGTAAAGCACCATGTACATCAATAGTGCCTTATAAATAAATTGTAAGTGATAATAATAATAATATTTTCTTGCTTGATGGCAGTGCCATCACTAGGGCTGGCATCACCCGGTAACTCATGGTGTCAGCCTTCCCTTTGACAATCTCCCACACCATACAGATTCCTTAGTAATGCTTTTTGTACTAATGTTACTCATAAATTGTAATTCCTGTATATCACTGAATGTAATGGCAATAGTTGTGACATAAACAATTAGCAAAATTAAAAATTATAACTTTAAATTACAATATCATAAGCACAGCCCAAATGTTTTTACATATACATAGTTTCATATGGTTAAAGTGAAAATTCTGTTAGATGTAATGTTTTAAAGAAAATTTAGAAAGAATATTTTTTTAAAAAAATATTTAATTTTAAAATTTAAAATTTAATTAAAAAAACAATACAGAGGCTGCTCCTTTCTCCTCTCACTAAGCATTGTCCAACTCACACCATCTCTTCTGCAGAGCTCAGCATTTTAAAGAACACCACAGTCCATTTCTGCCCAAAGGTAGATGTTTGGGGAGCAGTGGTGTCACCCCTCTTAGGGTGTCACCTGGTGTGGTCTGCACCCCTGGCATCCCTAGTGATGCTACTGCTGATGGTGGGGATAAGATGGATTCCCTGTATTTCACCTACACAAGCTGACCAGCCTGCTGTTTTCAGGGGATACAGAATAGCTTGCATGGAACATAGAGCTCTAGTTTCCAATAGAGGAGAACAGCCAGGGTCTGTTGACAATCCCTCATCATCTGTTGCCAGAGGTATTGCCATGCTCTGGCTAATGGTAGGGCTAGCCTTGTGTTGGCAATCATATTTATATGCAGCACTTCAAGCAATGGGAGAGGGCATAACTTGTCAAGGAAAACAATTGCACTTTTGAGAAATTCTCATCTCAGTAATTTTGTGGTTGTTCTGTTCCTTCAGTAAGTAAGTGTCTAGCCATTGGCAATGCTGTCTGAGAATGATGGGATTTGTAGTTCAAAACATCTGGAAGACTGACCTAAAACGTTGTTGTTGTTGGGTGTCTTGGGCTACATCTACACTGGAGAATTAATGCAGTTTGACACCACTTTAACTGTGATGGCTCAATGGATTGGAATTCTGGGATTTGTAGCTTTGTGAAATATTTAGCCTTCTCTGTCAGAGAGCTCTGGTGCCACAACAAACTACAAATCCTGACAGAAACTGCCAGGTTCATCTCAAACCCACCTTCAGCTGTTATTCTTCTCCCCACATTTGAAAGGAACCAAGTCTGATGAATACCTGGTGCATGTGGGCTGAGATGATGCATGCACCTAGGTTGCCATACAGAACAACTGCCATGCAGATACCCTTTCAAGCAGCCAGGGTGGCAATTTCACATGCCTCATTGTGCTGTAGCCTCATGGTTGGAAAATTTAAAATAGACAAAGGAGGTTGCTGGAGACTGTAGTCTAGGCAACTCCTATAGCTTTCATTGGGACCGGCCAACCAAACAGATGCTTCTGAAGCTGTTCAAAACAACAACAAGCCAAAAACAAAAAACAAAACAAAGCAAACCCAATTCATTCCTCTTCACTGCAGCATTTGAGTTCCATGCTTCTCCTCTTGCCAACACAAGGAGTGTTCCAGAGCAGGCAGTTTTACAGTCAGTTGCCTGTGGGGAAAGAGTTGTGTGAGGCCAAGAGCATACATCAGGTTTGCATAGCATAAATCTCTGTATGCAGAGGTATGCAGTTATAGTTCTGTGCATGTGATGAATTGGCAGCAGTGCACAACTGAATGCACACTCAAATGTGCAACCAGAGGTACAACAGCATCCATGCACATCCCCATAAGGATCTGCAATGGGATCGTATGCACAACTCCACTTCTGCAAGCTTGAACTGAATGAGGATGTTCCTGATTGGAAGGGGAAAAAATCCAAACGTTCCCATAGGGGAATTTAAACCTGTGTGAAGATATCAACAGGATGATGATGATGATGATGATGATGATGATAATTATTTATTTATATAGCACCATTGATGTACATGGTGTGTTACAAGTAAAACAGCAACAAAAAACACCCAGCTTTGACAAAGGCATACAATCTAAAATATACATGTGTATACACACAAGGGAAGGATGGAGTAATGGAAATATAAAACATTACAATACAAACATAAAATCCAGATATAATATCAAAACAAGACAATATAAATAAAGTGACAAACACAGATGGTCAAAATAAACAAGATTCCAAGAGTTATACTGTCATATGAGTATATACTTGGAATGATATTGCCCACAGCCGTATCTTGTACTTCCCCACAAAATATCATCACCTCCAGTTCACAAAACTATCTGGAGATATGGGGGCTTCCAGGCACAGCTCCATCCTCTCAGCTACAGACTGGTGCAGGGCTATGCCAGGCCATGTTCTGGCTGAAAGAAAGAATGAAAGGAAGGAAGAGAAAAGAAAAGAAAACAATCTTAAGCTGGAGGAGGAATCTGTTCCTTCTCTATTGGGTTACCAAAGGCAACCAGAATGCATCTTTAAGCAACTTTGCATCCAATCAGTAGTTGGGGCAATAAAGCCACACCTAATTTTGGGATAACTCCTACAAAACCCAGAATAGTTCCTGTAATTCCTGTAAAACCCAGTGTGAATGTACCACCCTAAAGCAATGGAACCACTGGCCACCTCTGGGCTACATCTGGAAGCCTCCTGACTGTCTCTGAAAGAAGTGGGGACAAGAGAGTCACTTTCATCCCTTCTGATGGTGATGTAAATACTCTCCAGTAGGAGATCTAGGCATACTATGTCAACTGCAGAAATAGTGTGAACCACAAGACAAATTTGAAATTCTGCGTTATGATCATAGGCCAACCAAAAAGCTTTGGGAGCACACATATTTCTTAATCAAGTAATTATTTTTTTTAAAAAGCATGTTGGTAAATAGTGTAATGGTGGTGGATGAATTTGGGTGGTGTCCTCCTGCCCTGGGATGTTTTGCACCCATAACATAGCATCCATGACTTATAAAGAAACATTGGGCCTTTGCAGACTGCCAGAAATAGTGCAAATTGAGTCCACTTTAACTGTCCTGGCTCAGTGCTAGGGAATCATGGGAACTGTATTTTTTTTCTGAGACATTGAGCCTTCTCTGTCAGAGAGCTCTGGTGCCACAATAAACTACAGTTCCCATGATTCCCTAGCACTGAGCCAGGGCAGTTAAACTGAATTCAATTTGCACTATTTCTGGCAATCTGCAAAGGCCCATTGTTAGCTGTCTTTGGGGAAAGTCCTACTTTGTGGCATAAGAAGGAGAGATATAAATATAAATACTTAAATAAATAAAATATATAAAAAAGGAATCATTGAGACCTGAGCATGCTGCTTCTAGCCTATTGTTGTTTCGCCTACTGCTTTAAAAGAGCTGTCCAAGGTGCTGAACCAAATTTGGGGCTAGGTTTCAACAAATTGCTCAGCTCCTTTAGAGTTCAGATGGAAAAGCAGACTGGATTCTGCACCCCACTGACATGGGAGACAACAGCCAGCACTCGGTATGTTGTTGTTGTTGTTGTTGTTGTGTGCCTTCAAGTCATTTCTGACTTATGGTGCCCATAAGACAAACCTATCACAGGATTTTCTGGGGGAAAGAGAGTGTGAGCTACCCAAGGTCACCCAGTGGATCTCTTGGCCGAGCAGAGAATTGAACCCTGGTCTTCAGAACTGTAGTCCAACATTCAAACCACTACACCAGGGGCCGGCAACCTACGGCCCGCGGGCCGGTTCCGGCCCAGGGCCCCACGCTTACCAGCCCAGGCGGACCCCTGCCACTGCGCTGTGACCGCCATTTTGATTTCCTTCTGGTGGGCCGGGGGGGAATGGCGGCACGCGTGCTCATGCGTGCGTGCTTACCCCATCACCGTGTGCGACCCCCCCGTGCATGCTGCCACCACTGCTGTCACTGCCGCCACTGCCACATACACTGCCACTGCTGCCTCCACGCATGTTGCGACCTCCATTTTGGAAAACAAAATGGCAGTCGCGAGTGGCGGCCGCCATTTTGTTCTCAAAATGGTGGCTGTGACTCATTTGCACATGTGCAGTACTCCTGCGCAAGTGCAAATGCATCACAGCTACCATTTTGGAGAACAAAATGGCGGCTGTGACATGCACAGAGGTGGTTGCGGCAGCGCGCGCAGCGATGGCGGTAGTGGCAGCGGTGGCAGCAGCGTGTGTGGGGGGGTTGTGCACAGTGACGGGTGTTGCACACGCACGCATGAGCACGCGTGCTGCCATTTCCCCCCTTCGCCCCGCTGGAAGGACGACTTCGGGGGACTGGCCCCCAGATCAAAAAGGTTGCCTATCCCTGCACTACACCAGGGATAGGCAACCTTTCCCCTTTAAGGGCCGAGGGACTTCAGCTCCCAGAATCCCAGGAGCTATTGGCCAACATGGGACTATTGGCCAACATGGCTGAGGTTTCTGGGAGCTGAAGTCCCTCGGCCCTTAAAGGGGAAAGGTTGCCTACCCTTGCACTACACAATGCTGGCTCAGTTAATGCTAGTAGATCAATCACAGTTCTTCTTAACTATTTTCTGTCCCATGGATCACTCTTTCAAAGAACCTGGGTCCTAATATTATCAAAACAACCCCCCACCTTTTTCCAAGGACATAACTGTTCAGCAGTTAAAAGATCATAAGCCAGTTGTACAATCTCCTAACGTTTGGAATTCTTGGTTGCAGTTATTAACAATGAAACATGACCTGAAAAACCTTTTCAGCAGGGCAGTGTCTTGGCCAAAGGGATTTCAAGGTGTGGCAGATCAAGACACTGGAAAATGATGGGGGCAGCTCTCTCCTGGTTGCAGGATGCATTGAGCAGTTGTGGCAGGACCCAGAGTGGCCTCTTCAATTCCTTATCCTTTTGGGGTGAGCTAAGGATGATTGTGGTATTATGTTGGGATAATATTACAATAATGAGACAAACAAAAATTACAAATGCATTAGTACAGTTGGCCCTCCATAGCCAGGATTCTGCATCCATGGATACAACCATCTAGAGCTTGAAAAAAATATTTTTTTTAAAAAATTCCAAAAAGCAAACCTTGATTTTGCAGTTTTATATAAGAGGCAACATTTTACTGTGCCTTTGTATATAATGGGAGCACCCATGGATTTTGGCATCCACAGAGGATCCGGGAACAAATCTCAGTGAATACCAAGGGCCCACTGTACTTTACAACTGTAATAATACTGTTATTAATTCATATTAATTGTTATGAAAATCCTGCTTCCCAGCAAGATAATGTCTGCACTGGTAGTATTTATACCATTCCAATAATCACATTGCCTTTGAATATTGTCCATGGTAGAGCTCCTACACCTTTTAAACTGGACCTTATTCATTGTATTTCTCTCAAGTAGCACCACATAAAAATTAGGGATAATAATAATAATAATAATAATAATATTTTCTGCATCTCCCTGAGGATCGAGGTGGGAGCACAAAGATAAAATAAAAAGAAAAATACAGCAAAGCTAAAACATAACAATAAAACCACAGCATAATAAAAAGTGATAAAATAGTAAAAAAACAGTGATAATTAATATGATTGAATCTTTAAATTACAATAAAAAATTACAAAATTACAAATTCAAGTCTATGCCGTGGGTGGTGAAGATCTTCCTTCACCTGGGAGGTCCTGATCTTATGCTGCCAGAATCCCAGGAGCTATTGGCCAACATGGGACTATTGACCAACATGGCTGAGGCTTCTGGGAGCTGAAGTCCCTTGGCCCTTAAAGGGGAAAGATTGCCTACCCCTGAATTAGGGAGATCAGATGCCCTGCTTCAATGAGTGGATTTGTCAATCTTACTGTTATTTTTTTAATTATCAAGTTCCTTTTGTCAATCTTAAGATGAATTGTATGGCTTTTGTACTGTTCCTTTACAAGAATGCACCTCATGACATTCTCATCCCTCCCTACCAAGCAGCAGTCTAAGCCAATGGAGATTTGAGTTGTCTCCACTTCTGAATTGTTGTGTGTACTTTGGATAATCCCCTGGCAATTCATTTCAAGAAGCATGTTTGCATTGTACATCTTCTGAAAGAGTGAGTTGTCAGGTTACAAGCCTAGAAGCCTCCCTCATATTTATCAAGGCAGACAAGCTTTGTCTCTGATAAGAAAGCAGCCTTGATTCTTGATGTCTTCATGAGAGTCAATAGTATTTGTGAAGAGATCTGGCATCCCCTCCTCTCTCTTCTAGGGCAAACATGAACAATTACCTAGATAGTTACCTTATGTAGATTGGGAAACTTGTCATCCAGTCATCATGGCCAAACACATTGCCTGATATGGCATGATGGATGGGCTGGGCATAATGAATGGTCTGTGCCATAGTGTGCCATTAGAACAGATTCCCATCAAGAAGATGGATGGTTTCGAGTCTGGACACTGAAATTTATCTCTTGCTTCAAGGCATCAAAAGTAGCATGGAGTGTTCTAGGAAAATCAAAAATGTGAGGAAGCTAGACAATGTCTTCATAACCAGAACAGCATTTTGCAAAATTTAGAATGGATTGATACAACACAGTATTTTTGAATCCTTAAAGAATCTAAGTGTAAGGCTTGTGCCAATATTCAAGTTTGTAACAAGGCATAAAGAACTCTTTATAGCAAGGATGGGGAACTTTTCTCAGCCCAATGGCCAGATTTAGTTTTAGATAAATCCTCAGTGACCATCTTTCACTGATGGTTGGGGTCAAAGAATGTTGTTAGCTGCCCCGAGTGTGCTCAGAGGGGTGGGGTATAAATAAATGATGATGATGATGATGATGATGATGATGATGATTATGACAAAATGATAGGAATATCTTAGTTTACATCTCTTCCTACCAGACAACTGAACCTTGGGAGGTGCATTTCAACCTTTTAGAATGAGGTCAGATTTACAAAAATGCAAGAATCCATCAGACAGGAAGATTGGGATTTCAGTAGGGAGAGAAATGTAGCCCAAGGAAGGGCTTTAAAATCCTGGGCAGAAGAAGTACCATTCCATGGGATGTATGGAATGGTACAACACAGTCAACCTGGTACTCTCAAAATGCTTGGGATTACAGTTCCCATCAGTCCCAGACATCGTGGCCAAAGTATCTGGAGGGAACAGGTTGCATTCCTCTCATATGTGGTTACAATGACATGGGCTTGCATGTGAGTTGTGAAAATTCATTTATTCTTTCTGTACAAATGTAACCTGAAGGACATTCGTGGCTTTTTAAAAGACATACTTCCTCTCATTTCATTTTGTGATACAGATGCTAAATGAATTAAGATGCTTAATGGAGTCACATTTACTATCTGCAAGATTACCACCCCTTTTACTGTTCTCCAGCTAAAATGGGTGATCATGTCCAAAATGTTCTATACAGCAGGAAGCAAAGAGATCTTGCAGCACCTTTGAGTAACTGTGCAAAAGAAGTTTTGGCATGAGCTTTCATAGACTTTGAGTGCATCCACACTATAGAATAATGCAGTTTGACACCACTGTAATTGTCATCACTCCATCCTACAGAATCCTGGGATTTGTAGTTTGGAGAGGAACCAGTACTCTTTGGCAGAGAAGGCGAAAGACTTTGCAGAAGTACAAATCCCAGGATTTCACAGGATGGAGCTACAGCACTTAAAGTGGTGTCAAACTGTGTAAATGCACCATGGTCTACTTCTCACATGTATCTTATTCCTCAGGTGTGTCTGTGAAAACTCATACCAGAACTTTCTCACAATTAGTTTCAAAGTGTTACAGCCTGTAATGCAGCCTTCCTCTTACTGCAGTGAGGCATTCATGCATTAGTTCCCCTCAAAGCAATGGAGTTTAAGTTAGCCTCTTATCCCACTGACTTCAGGGAACTAAAGCCCAGTGTCTGGATCCAACCATGCATGTTTCATGGTGGTGGAGATATGCTGGATCCACCAGGGAAGGATAAGTGCAAATTATTCTGGGACCTGTTCAATGAAGATCCCCATTTTCTATCCATTCCAACTATTTTAAAGCCAAATTCCCATGATATCGACACCTCCTGCTGGCATGGCCACTGGATTAGCTATGCTAGGGAGTGTCCTATCTCCCTAATTGCCTGTCCAGCAGTCTGGACATCTTGAAAAAAATCCTGCAGTTCGGCATGTCGGGCTTTGTGAGCAATTGCTGCTTGCTCCAACGTGATGTTCACTCTCCCTTTTTCATCCCAATTCTATTACACAGCCGCTCAGTTTAATAATAATTGCCATGCAGGACTTTAAGCCCACTGCCAATGTCCTGCTCGTCCAAAGTCATTTGGTGAAGGAGTCCATTACAATCAATGCTAGCAGTGATAAATTCCTGGCGATGGTAGCAGCTCACAGCAGCCTCCTCTCATAATGACATTCTGCTCTTGTTGGCAGGAAGCCCTCAGCGAGCGAGACATCCCCCCCAAATAACAAAAAGCGATGACAACAACAGCAGTCACAGCAGCTTGATGAATACAGGGAGGCTATTGGGAAACAGAAGGAAAGGACTGGAGATACTGCACATCCCAATAAACTCCTGTTTCTGACCTTTTGCTCCTCCTGCTTTATGGTCCAGAGTCATCCAAAAGTCTTCCAATATGTTCCCCTGTTGTCCTTGGTGCTTATGTGGGTCTCCCTACCTCCTTTAAGCCCAATTGTTAAGGCTTTAACCCCTTAATTCTCATACCCAGGAGACAGTAAGCCCATTGCTGAAAT